TACCATTTCCTCGTCCCGACCAAATTGAGATCCTTTTGGCTTTTAAGAATGAGTTTCCAAACCCCAAATGCAACTTCAGTGAGTAGCCTCACTCAAAACCATTGACAAAATCTTGGACCAACAAAAACATCAGCTCTTTTGATGGGGTTGTATTTGATAACAAGACTGGTGTGGTGACGAAACTAGACCTACATGGTGCATGTTTCAATGGCATTCTCAATGCTAATAGTAGTCTTTTCAGATTCCACCACCTCAGGTATCTCGATCTCTCTTTCAATCACTTCGGCTCGTTCTCATTTCTCGTTGAACTTGGCAAACTCACCAACTTAGAGGTCTTGGACCTTTCTTCTATGGGCTTAGTCGGCGAAATACCTCTGTCATTGTGCAATCAAAGCGGTCTAGGTGTCCTTGATCTATCTCACAACAATTGCAGCGGTTTGGATCCCGGATGCTTGAGTAAATCAGTGAAAGTTTTGAATCTCCGTAACAACAATCTCATCAGGAGTCTTCCCGACATTTTCGACAAGAATGCCTCACTAGTAACACTTGACGTTGGCCACAATCAAATAACTGGGAAGCTTCCAAGTTCTCTTGCAAACTACACTCGACTAAAGCTTCTAGACATTGAGGGAAATAGAATCACTGACACCTTTCCGTTTCGGCTTAGTGATCTACCGAAACTAAAAGTCATTGTCCTGCGTTCAAACAGATTCCACGGTCCAATATATTCTCCTCAACATCCTTTATCATTTCCAGAACTGCGGATAATCGACATATCGCGTAACAACTTCACGGGAAGTCTACCACCAAATTACTTTGTCAATTGGAGTAACATGTATTTGACAAACAAAGGACGTAACATGGAGCTAGAGACCTACTCAGCCATTGATTTCTCTGGAAACAAACTCGGAGGACAGATTCCAGAATCGATAGGTCTTTTGAAGTCGTTGATGGCATTCAACCTATCAAACAATAATTTCAACGGTCATATTCCATCTTCTTTGGCAAAACTCACGGAGCTCGACTCACTAGACGTATCTCGAAACCAACTCTCCGGAAAAATTCCACAAGAGCTAGGGAACCTCTCGTACTTGGCGTACATTAACATGTCGCATAACAAACTCACTGGCCAGATACCACAAGGTAGACAATTTCAAAGTCAACCAGAGTCTGCATTTGTAGGGAATATCGATCTTTGTGGTCTTCCTCTTCAAGAAAGTTGCTTCAGTGAAAATGGAACACAACATGTAAAACCGTGGAAGCAAGAACATGTGTTGAACTCGAAAGCCTCAACAATAGGCTATAGGCCTACCCTGATGATGTTTGTACTAGCGATTGGACAAGTTTTTGTTTCATACAAACCGGTGTTTCGCCTTTGAAATGAATTGCCTTTTTTTTTTGTTACCGTTCGTATATAGTACTAAATAGATGCGGACTAACGATTATTTCCCTTGATGTAATATTATTATTGTACATGAATTTTCCTTATGTTTTTTAGCAGGGTCTTGTGCATAAAATCACGGATAGATGCGGGCCGGGATGCATGCGCATGCATCCGTAAGAAGAAGGAAGTTTGCTGTCTATCGACATGTCAAGTGAAGGTGCTAAGTATTTTAGCGTATCGAGGAACTTGTAGAGAGCTGAAACTTATGAGGCATTTCTTGGCAAAATTGAAATCTCTTCAAAGTGTCAAAGGTTGGTGTTAAAATGAATCACAAAGAAGATGACAATGATGTTAATAATAGATACCTGAGAATCACCAATGCTCTTATGAAGCTTCCCAGAGTTTCATCAAACTG